CAAATTAATAGAAGTTTTAACGAAAACACTAATACCTCCTCGTATAAAGTAGTGTCAGTTATAATCTAGTGCGCGATTATTCGATGTGTACACAGTGATGTCGACGCAAAATTACTACAAGGAAAAGCTAGGATTCGATCCTAGGGAGTCCATTTACAACGACGGACCTCCGGAAAAGTACAGGAGGACCGAGGAGGTTCCTCATGGGTACGAAGAGAACCTTACCAAATTTAAAGGTACTATATGGGATTTATTTATTGAGGCTACTTCAGGTACGGTGGTGGGATGATTTAAGTTTTAAGCATGGCAACTACACTCACCGGAACTAAGATCAGGTACTTTAAAATTTTGATATATTTTAAAGTTTACTATATTTTCTTCTGAGGGTCAATATTGATGATTTTTAAGCAATATAAAGCTAAATTATTGAACTTTGTAATGTTTCTTCCTAAATTAAGAATAATAGTTCACATCTGTCAATTATATGAGGAAAAGATATTTTGGTGAAGTTTGAAACATCCTATGGAATATAAATAGCAAGAAATTGCTCGATAGTTTGTTTTTTGGTTCATTTCAAAAGCTATATTTTTGTTGGCTATATTCGCTTTTGAAGAAGACGCTAACATTTTACAAAAAATATCTCCAAAAAAAAATAAAGCTATTGAGAAAAGATGCACCTAGATGATAAAATGATTTCAAATTTCTTGCTTTATTAACATATTCCACAGGGTGTTCCAAACTTAAACCTATACTAATGCAACATTTTGTGTTCCCTAGTATAACTGACAGATGGGACCTTTCATTTTTAATTTCCAAAGAGATATTAAAAAGTCAAATAGTTTAACCACAAAGTGCTTAAAAGATCATCAAAATTGGTCAACTAGAATACAATATATAAAACTTTAAAATACATCAACATTTTAGGGTGTCCGTTTTTCGTGCCGGTAAGTGTATATCGTTGATGTTGTTTTGGAGCTGTCGCTGACGTCTAACGGCTTAATGCGTGGTTTGTATTTTTGGATCGTATGGATTAATATGGATGAATCAAGAGTTTTTTATAAGGATTTTTTTTAAAATTATTAATTCTTTTGACGTTTCAAAATATCTCTTATTATATTTTTGCTTAAAATATACTTAGCAGTTGTTTTAAAATCAGGGATAGATCTGAAGTGTTTAATAATTATTTTTAATTGCTATCCAAAATGTGCCCTATTTTTCTGATTTAAACAAAACCACTTTCTTAATTATACTTTGCTGTTTATTAATTTTGTAACTTGGACTGAGTATTTTTCGAAAAATGCTTGTAATGTTGAAAGATTATAATTTCTGGAGACAAATCATTTTAGTTGACGATTCATCCATTTTAACCAGTGTATACGGTCTATTTTTTTGCTTATTAATACCGATTTAGTTGGAGGACTTTCTTTATCACTTTCATCAAAATATTTTTTATACACCCTATAGATGCAGATTTTATTATTTATGTTAAAAGTCAAGCTAATAATTCATCAGAGTATACAAAATTCATAGAGAATCAGAATCATATCATATTATCATGATTCTGATTCTCTGTTGATGATATGAGAATACCCCATTAAGAATTTACAGGGGGGATTCATATCATATGGTTCCTTTTATTTGTTGTTTTCGGTGAATTTTCTCTTGGCGATAGTTTAAACTTTAAATTTAATTCAAAATGATATAAAGAACATTAATGCGTTGCTGTCGGAAATTTGACATTTAAAGACAATAATGGAAGAAAATGGATTTCTTCGCTGAATTTTGAAAAAGGTATTTTAAACTGTTGCGTTTCTTTTTGTTAATTTTACATAATTATAACAATTTCAGCTAGGCCATCAGCCATCTCATTACTCATTAGGTACACTCAGTCTCACTAGGTACTCTCTCAGGTACATTGGACTGATACTGGAGAGCAACAGGTTGAATTTTAAGCCATATTTAGTCAATAACAAAGTAAAAATAAACGCCAAAATATTTTTCTAAATCAATTATTGATAAAAAAATCCCAAAAGATATGAACTTTTTCTATGACACTGTATTGGTCTAGCGGGATAAAAGGCATTCAATTTTCTGTGGTATATTTTTTTAATTATTGATATTAATAATAATAGATATACTATTTTTTAGGCTATAAATCTTAATAATAAGCCTCAAGTAAAAATTTATTTTGGTATATTTAAAGTAAAAAAAAATCTTATCCAGACAAATATGTTGGGGGGGGGTAATCCGTTGTGATATTTGGATGAAGAATCGAATAGGATGTTTTTAGGGAAGGTCTAACCCCTAACTTTTTTGGTTACCTGCTTTGTGATAATAAGATTATATAAAATGTCTTGACTACCTTTCTTTTGTGTTTCCAAGAGTTTAAATAATTGCTTTATATTTTCATACTATAAATTGTATTTATCCAGTCGCGTTACTGCAATTAGAAAAAAAAAACATTACAGAACCATACAAGGAACATTGCAAATTACCAGTGTTACACCCTTGTAACTTGTAAATAGTTCCTAAGTGTAATTAGGCGACCGAACTTTTTTGTCGTTTGGTAACAAGGGAATGATAAAAAGCGGTACTTGACTTGCCATCTGCATAAGTCAATCCGCTAATCTAGTGGATACGGTTTGTTCATCTTTAGTCGTTTACTGAATTAAATTGAAGATAATTCTTTCGCTCTGGTTAATGTAAATAAAATTTAGTGTACGGTTCTCGAAATGTTGGATCAAAACTGTACAGGATTAGTGTTTTAAATATTATGTCTATGGCTCTTATTTCTTTACTTTGAATAAAAATATTAAGGGGGAGTAAAATGCTATCCATGTATTCATGCAAGGTAGACAAATCATTTTAGTTGTAGTCGAAGGGTCCTAGGGTGGGGATCTTTGACATTTCTGTTTGACGATTTATTTGACACATTTGAATTTGATTTGAAATTTGTGGATTTGTCAGTCTTTACTGAGCTTATTTTATGTCATTTATTATTTATTCTATTTCTGTTAGTTGTTTAAAGGTAGAACATCTAGAACGAAATTGTACCAGAACTTAAATTAACAGGGACACTATTGCTATTTATTGAAAAAGACTGTAAAAGAAGTTAGATACGTCAATTTGACTTACCTGCTTCAGTAGCGTATCGGATGTTTGTGTTAATAAATAATTATAATTCTCTATTTTTCTAATAATCTATTTTTATTAGAATTGTATATTTTTCTAACAAATTTAATGACTACCAGCATTTATTCACAACCTAAAATACAACAACAAATTGAGTCTACTCTACATTATATTTTTACACGTTTTGAATAAAATTAGAACGGCACTAATAAACCGGAATTTAAGTCGGCCATTTTAGGAGCCCGTCGCGGTCGATCTAAGATTTTTTATATGCTTTTCCCTTAATCTTTTTATTCAGTTTTTTACCAATTTCAAATAAACGTTACTTACGATTGATAGCGAAACAACCGTACGTATTCATGTCCACTTCAGTGCAAAACATATTGCTGTCATCGTGATGTAATGGAAAACGTTAAAAACACATCGTTCCATTACTAATTACATGCACTTGTGCATAGTAGGGTACCGGTGGCTTTAAGAATTCATCGATTACGAACGTTTTGGACCCCATCATCTGTGTTTTTCGGGTTGACGACATCTGGATGAAGATTTTTAAGTGGCGGCGATGACAGAATTACGCTCGAAATACAGAGCAAGGGAATTAATATCTGGGATTATGGGGATTTGTTTCGTTTGGAAGGTTTTATTTTTTTTCATTGCCCGAGGAATGCGGTTCTTGGTGTATTTTCCCAGACAGTCTTAAGAATACAGTTAATCATTTTGAGCTTTAAGATAATGCCTGATTTATCTTTTTATAACAAGCTTAATTCTTTATGCCAATCAAGTTTAGTAATACAGGATAAACCACTGTCCCAAAAATGCTTCATGTACATACAGGGTACTTTATTTTAAATGACCAATTTACGCTTTTCCTATATTTTCTATTTGTAGAAAAGAAAAAAAATATTCAATGTAATTTTACACGAGGATGCTGCATACATAGTGCGTTATGTTTCCCCATTGTTCTTTAAGGACCAAGCGAAGTTCATTTAATGCAACTGGTGCCGTTTCGCGATTTAACCCTCCTGGCAAGCATTTCCCAAACTATAAGTTCTATAGGGTTCATTTGTTGAACATGGGCAGTTCATAGTAGTATATTTATAGTTTACAATAATCACCAAAGCTACCTCATAATATTGAAAAATAACATAAAAAAAATGATAATTGAAAAAAATCCAAATTGTTCCAATTCCTTGGGGGCAAGTTTATTTCGCTCTTAAAAATTAACCAAGGCATATATCGACATGCACCAAAAAGCAAAATGCTTAGGAGACATGGCTCTGGCTGAAAAATAATGTTTTAGATTAATTTGCTCACGAAATTATTACACAGGGTGTTCTATAGTTATGTAATTATTATGTAATTTTAATGTAATTTTACGCGAGGATGCCGCTTTTCTCTCTGAATTTTTTTAAAACGTCAAATTTACTAGATACGACATTATCCTGATTTTTTTAATGGTAACCATTACATATTTTATTATAATCCGGTAGACAATTTTAGCTAATTTCAAAATGTATAGTTTAGTGTACTCTCTTTGCATTTATCAAGCCTTCCATATACAGGGGGTTGAAAATTGAAATATCCTAGAATCATTTTAAACGGCTCACTCAATGTATGTCACGAAGTACATAATACTATGTCACTATGGTACTATTTCCTATTTTCATTAATAATAATAGGATTGGCGCGAGGATCGACACCCCGGCATAAAATTTTCTGATTGATCCTTCCTGAAAAATCTTTGTCTTGTTACTTAAATTGATGTCCTTGTAAATTTTCTTGTTTGATAATTTCCCAGATAATTTCATTCAATTCTTATTCTTTTTAAAGTATATCTTAGTTGGGATAAATTAAATTAAAAATATTTGGTTAGATATACAGGGTGATTTTTAAAAAAGTCTTAAAAAAAAAATTTTTAATAAAATTGTGTATATTTTTCTATTCAGTGGATTTATCTTTTGTTTTCAAAAATTACCATAATGTTGTCATAACCATTTTAGTTTCTACGTGGTATTTTTATAACTTTGAATACACTCATCATAATAACATGTAACAAAATAAGGGTAATAAGTTCCAATTCGTTAGGCAAGAAAATCTTATTTAACAGAAAGGCGAAGCGATAATTACCAAACGAGAAAGCACTATGGGATTCTATTTGTTTAAATTTTTTCGAGTCATAACTGTAAAGTCGAAAATGAATTCTTTTGTATGAGAAAGTACGCCCTATTAAACAATTTGTTTAAAATAATTATTTAAATGCATTGGTATGTTTTATATTTTGGCAAATAGTTTAAAATAATGTGAACTAAAACTATTATTAATGTTTATTTACTGTATTGAATACTTAGTTTGTTGTAATTGACTCTATGAATATTGGACAGGATAAAAGAAAATCTAAATATTTTATTCTTTTATATAAGAGGCATCTGAGCTTCTCATATTGTATATCATGGTTAAGCTCCATACTCACTGAGCGCTGATGATTACGTAGGGATGTGACGTGTATTTGTGAGCACTGTGAGCAGTCCACATGTTTATCAAATGGAAAGTATATTGATATTTTAATACAAATTTTGTGACGGTGAATCAAATTATTTATTATTTTTTTTATTTTAAGCGTATAAAACTGTTTGTTACACTTAAAAAACTATTTGTTACACGCAAAAAGACAATTTTTTACGTATAAAAAACTATTTGTTACGCGTAACTTGTTGATTACAAATGAAAAAAATATTCGTACGCATTTTTTAGCAGAGCTATAATAGTTTGAAAAGCATTTAAAATCATCAATTTCGCACATAAAGCGGGTGTACGGCTGTTAATGCTTTTTGAAAAAACTGTTGTTTACAAAGATGGTATACTTGCCAAGTACGCAAACATTGGTATACTTGCCCAGTACGCAGATATTGGTGTACTTGCCAGATACACGAGTCGTCTGAGTCTGGCTCTACTCAAGCCCCATACTCACTATTCGCTGTTTCGGTTCGTCAATGCGGCGATTCGGCTGTATGTCCGAATCTGGGCGATTTTGGGCGAACAATCAATAGAAATATCACGAACAGAATGGACGAATTTCCAAATAAATCAACGAACCTAATCAGCCAATAGCTCGACGAATAGCGAGTATGGGGCTTCAGTGGTTTGCAATGACTTTAAACTTTGGCAATGATTTTACGAGTTGTACGAATGTTATTAATCGAAATGACAAAAAAATAAAAATATTTTTAATTAATTTAACATTTCTGAATTTCAGATGAGAGAGACGCAGTACAAAAGAAGACGTTCACGAAATGGGTCAACAAACATCTGAAAAAGGTAAGGTTCAGTTTTTTTATCGCTTGTTTTCGTTGAAATTTAATAATTATTTAATTAAATGATACAACAGAAGGTCAGTGCAAGAAATGAATTGTCAAAACATTTCATTTTAAGTAATGGCATGCCCATGGGAGTTAAAACATCTTTTAAGACTCATAGTTTCTATGATACGTATAGTATTTTTAGTAAGAGTAATGGCTTTAATAATAGAATAATTTAAGCTAAACATTAGCTACTCAAGCTAAATAAACAAATACAAACATAGTAGTTATTACGTAAAAGCTTTGCAATATTTGCAGTGATTTTTTGATTGATTCTTTTATTTTGCCATTATACTGAGTTATATAACGTAGACTTTATTATATATGACTACGTCATACTTCACAGAAATAATAAACTCTATTTGATAGTTGAGTTTACTTATCTTTTTGATATTTTTTTTACAATATACGTGAGAAACCATTGATAGAACTTGATTGATATAACAGATTATTATAAATTATATTTATAAATAGCCTACCAAGAAATATAGGTATGTATGTAATAGTGAAATACATATAGGGACTATATGGGACTAATAGGGACTATTTTTAGAAAAAAATAATGAGGTCGAAAAAAAAACGGAGTCAAAGACGGCTGGGAATGACAATCGATAATAATTTTGGCGAGTTCAAGTTCAAGCCCTGGACTTCATTTACTTGGCCCATACTTTTCTGTACTTTTTAATGCGCTTAGTGTCAGTTGGCCTTAAGAAGGTTGTAATTTATTTTTATATTGAGTCAAAATGGTTTTTAAATGGTGTAGTTTAAAATTCGAGGAAAAATATTTTCTGATTTGTATCTGGAAACGTTCTATCTTTTTCTAATTTTTCTATAATTAATGTTAATTTTTGTATAGTTTTAGGTCAATTTTTAGTAAATGACTTCTAGAGATTGACCTCTAAATATAAATTATTATCATCAATTTTCATTTTCCAGCAGTCCTTAACGCCCATTTTTCGATCATACGGTATTTTTATTCATAAATCGTTTTATATTTTCTAGTTCAATAAAATCTTCTAAATGCGACCTGATTCATGGATATCCTGTATTTACATCGTATGCAGAGATACACTGATAGCACTGTTTTCTATAAATTTTCACATAAATTCTAAAGGCCATAATTTAAATGTCAAATTTGTCTTTCCGACTGCAAAGCAGATTCTCGAAATTCTTGTAAAGTCGCCACAAACACTTCCCAATGCAATTTTGTTCTATAAATATTGTCACTGTCCCTCTGAATCGTGGACCAGAACAATGTCATGCTGATTATTTTCGGTGCAGCGGAACTGGGTCATAGCAATTAATCAATGGTTTTAGATTAAATAGCAGCATATAACGACAGTATATAATTTATTTTCAAGCATAATCCGTTATTTACTATTAGTCTCTATAAAAATGGTATTATAAAATTGGTATTATTAATATTTTTAGCAAAATCATGAATTTTATAAAACTTGTAAAAAACTTCGTCAATTAAAGGGAAAGATTTAGTGCATTAGATTATCGGGGTTTTAATATTGGTAATGGGTTTAAGGTGGATATTGAGGGTTATTGCATGGTCTGCGCGACCTATTTTTGCAATAATTTATTGATTATATCTATGAGAAAATTACTAGGTTCTTAAAGTAATATGAACTATAAATATTGTATTTATGCTGTATACAGGGTGGTCCGAACTGTATTCCGGAAACTTCGGCAGCATATACTGCAGATAAAAATAAGTAAAAAAGTTCATATAAATGTATGTCCGAAAATGCTTCGTTTCGGAGATACAGGGTGTAGAAGTTTCGTTTTTATTTCGATTTTTTCTTTATAATTTCTGAAGTAACGTCAATATTTGGATGAAAAATTGGTGTCTGGAAGTTTTTTGACATAAGAAATTTGATTTTGAAGTTAATATGTTTCCTACTTGTAGAGGGCGCCATCTGCATATTTTTTAACTGGTTTGAAAATTAATATCTTTTCGTCTGTACCTGTATAAAACAACTGAGTAAAAAAATATAGATTTGCAACTTTTTTACGTAAAAAGGTCTCTTTTTAAAAATCGCTACGAGTAATGGTTCTCGAGATATTTGAAATCGAAATTATCAATACATGTCATCATTGACATAAATTAAACATGTTGATCACATAGTTATTAGACAGAAATCATAAATTTGAAATGTTTTTTTTTGCCAAAAGTTCAACAGAAACTGTTTTATAATATTTTTTTCGCAGAAAAATGATTGATTCATTTAAAAAAATAAAAATCTCAAATTTATTATTTCAGTCAAATAACTACCTACTCAACGTGTTTACTTTTTGCCAATAATGGGATGTATTGATTGAACGGTTGCTCGTAGCGATTTTACCAAGGGACGCGTTTTACGTGGAAGGTCATGGAAATGTATATTTTTTTACTCCCTAGTTTTATACAGGTAAAGTAGAAAAGTTATTACTTTTCAAAGCAGTTTAAACACATGTAGGTGGCGCCCCCTACAAATAGGAGTAATACTGACATCAAAATCAAATTTCTCATGTCAAAAAACACCCAGACATCAATTTCCATCCAAATATTGATATTACTTCATAAATTATTTGGAAAAAATCGAAATAGAAATGAAACTTCTACACCCTGTATGTCCGAAATAAAGCATTTTAGGACATACATTTATACGAACTTTTTTACCTATTTTTATGTGCAGAATATGCTGCCGAAGTTTCCGGAATACAGTTCGGACCACCCTGTATATTAGCTACGAGGGTTGTCTTTTCTTTTATATTTAGAAACAGAGTAGGCGCCTGCTAACATATATCAAATGTCAAAATTAACTGTCATTAAAAGCTATATCTAAACCGAAGTTTATAAGTTCACGAGTCAGTCGAAATATGGAATTAAGCCGAGAAAATTTTCGCGCAATAATTTTTTACAATTTTCGAAGACAGTTGTCTCAATAAAAATGCTTTGCCGAGCTGGTTCCTGTTTTCGGCAATGAAGCAGCACATTAGTCGACAATTTCTCGTTGGTGTGGATAAATTAAACGTGGACGTATTAGTCTTAGCGATTAGCGACCATCCAAGAAAAGGTCCACCAACAACGACAGTTACTCAGGAAAACATCGAGACTGTACGCAAGTTATATCCAAGAAGATCGTCATGTCATATATTGTGAAATTGAAGCATCATTGGACATTTTGAAGACCTCGATTCAAAAAATTTTATATGAAGAATATTTTGTAAAAAAAATGTTTTTTCGTTGGATACTGCATTTGTGGATGGAAGAACAGAAAGCAATTAGAGTTAATTGGTGTTAAAAACGTTACACCGCGGCACCGCACCCGTTTAACGCAGGAAACTCAAACAATATATACAGTAGTGTCAGTGGCAATGGATCCTGGATTTACTCTTATGAACCCGAAAATAAACGTTAATCGGCTGTTTGGGTGTACTGAGATCAACCAAACCAAACCAAAACCAATGAGAGTTATTCGTTCTGGAAGTGTTTCCAAAAAGAGTTTCAAAAAACCAACCCTCAACGACGAATGATCCTCCACCAAAAAATGCAAGTTCCCACAGAGTTCGAAAAACAATTAAGTTTTGAGAGCAAGAAAACATCGAATATTGGACCATATTCCATACAGTCCCGAGCTTATAAAGTCCTAAGGAGTTTTTTACTTTTCCAAAAATTAAGAATGACCTGCGTGGACAAAGGTTCCAGTCCCCAGAAGATGTAGCCAGCACCTTCAAAAAGTCATCTAACTATTTTTTTCCACCTCTATATGTAAAATATAAAAGACAACCCTCGTAGTGCACTAGTTGATATGGTAAAGGCAGAAAAACTGTTAAAACTGCAGTGGGTCTAACAAGGTATTGCAAGCTCAGTAGACATTTAAAGCTACATACATACATAACACATTTAAAGCTATGCGCAGAATGTGTTAATGCAAATCTGCGGTTTTTTTGTACTAGGTAACGATAATCCATTTGCAAAGAGCTATAGAGAAGTTTTTAAAGAGAATACGATTGGAGAACCTAGAGTAACCTAGAACGCTGACTAAAATATACGACAGACCTGATAAGCAAAGACAGAAAACTCTAAAATCTGCAGTGACTCTACTAACAGGGCATTGCAATAGGCATTTAAATCTAACGGGATTAACAGACGAATCCATAGTCTGTCAATCAGAAGAAAAAACGGCAAAACACATTCTGTCAGTGCGAGTCAATAATATGGCAAATATACAAATATTTTTATTAGGAGATGAAAAGCCATTAACAAAGAGATGCAAAGTTCATACTCCAATTTATTAGACTTTGTGGAAATAATACGACTGCTGAATGTAACCTAGAAATCAGAAGAGGGTCACAATTGATTTGTAAATGTCAAGAAATCTAATCTAAACTATATCGCTAGTATATGACTTGGCGAATATTTAAGAAACCCCTTAGGTATCTTATCTTATGTATCTTAGAAAATTTGCTTGAATTTTTTTTAACATTTACTTACTATATTTAACCAATTACATATCTTAACGAAAATAATAAAGTGTTATTTATAGATCTACACTAAAATTGTAAATACTTGCCTATGTGTGAAGATTTCTAAGTCGAAATTAATATTTATGTAAGAAAGGTCATTCCTTTAGTTTCCGTTATGACATCAGAATTATTTGTATGTTGTGGTATTTTTTAAAATTCTAATACCTGTTTTATTACCAGCATAAATAAACATAAACGTGGAACTACATTCCAATCTTAGGACAATGTTTGTCAGTAAACAAATTTTCTGTCCTATTTGTTGCAGAAAGGTAACGTGTAAACAAAAAATATCAGTGGTATTTTCTGTTTAGTTGACTGTCAATACATTTTAACGTAATTTTAATAATGGCTTGGTTAAATATCTGTAGAATTGAATTATTACTAACAAAAATGTGGCCACCTCTTCGGAGATGTTGTATAGCTTTTAAGTTTTAATCATCT